TTCTACCGAATTCGAGAAGGACCCATTCGGGACGCTTCGCGCTCCGCGGAACCTTCTAGTATTACCCGGGTTACTGCCTTTGTGCCTATATATAGCCTCGCCTTGTACCTAGGTGAATCATTCAATAGATTTGTCTTTCCTGAACCAGATCCTCACACCCTGGTTGCTCGTGAGTATAAGGTAGTGAGATCTTCCGATGGATGCCCTTCTCAATTGAAGTTATAGAAGTTGGAGTGGAACTGAAAGGCCTTCAATTTTGTTCCGATTGTCACTGCGCCATTTTTAACCAGATACGAAAGCAGTCAAATGCTTTCGGACAAGTGCCGAGACAAACCAATAACTGGCGTCGATAAGCGTCATCATATAGTAGTCCCCTTTCATCTCTTGAGCGCTCCACTTCGTACACAGGTTCATCCTTTACAAGAACAGGTGGTGGTGGCAGTAGCTGCCGTCCCTGGAACTATTGGTTGGGGTCCTTGTAGGGCTTCAGTACCTGCACATGGAGAGCGTTGTGAAGCTTCCACGTAGTAGGTAAGTGCAAGCGGAATGTTACCGGTGTCACATGTGCTTCAACATGAAAGGGACCAGAGAAGCGAGGTCGGAGTTTGGATGGAAGGTGAGACAGGTTCAAGTTGTGTGTGTCGAGAAGCAACTGATCTCCGACTGCTATTGAGACATCGCTGAGTCACTGGCGATCGGCATAATGAGACGTCGCTGAGTCTTCTCCCATAGCTGCTGCATGGTGGTGACGAAGTCATATGCGGCCTGGACGTATGCTGGTGTGGTTGGCTGCTATGGCGTACGTGGTTCCCGTCCGTAACACAAAAAGAGAGGAGATTTTCCTGTGGCCGCGTGTGATGCGTTGTTGTAAGCAAACTCAGGTGTCGATAACTGTGAATCCCAGTGGCTGACATCGGCTTTGCAAGCGGTGCGCAGTTCAACCACCTGATTGAGTCTCTCTTTCTGTCCGTCAGTCTGGGGGTGGTATGCTGAAGACATGGCAAGCTTTGTCCCCAACAAACCCATGAGTTCCCTTCAAAACTTACTAGTGAACTTTGGGTCTCTGTCCGAGATGAGTGTAGTGGGGATGCCGTGGATGATGATGATGCGATCGAAGGAGAAGCGAGTAGTTGCTGTAGCTGTGGCTTTGGTCTGGATGAAATGACCGATTATGGAGAACTTTTCGATCATCTCGAGTATAGTATCATGCCTTCGTGAGGTCGAAGGAAGTCCCGTGATGAAGTCGAGGCTAACGACCTGCCATGGCAGCTCCGATACGGGTGGAGGCTGAAGTAACCCTGCTTTTTTCTGCTTGCTACTCTTCATCCGCTGGCACGTATCGAATAAGGTGACGAACTGCTGCACGTCTGTTGCCATCCCGGGCCAGTAGTAATACTTCGCTATCCCTGCTAACCTTGTTGCTCCCGAAATGTCCCGCGTACTGTACGTCGTGAAACTCTTCCAGTAAGATCTGTCGGAGCGGGGAATAGTTCGGTACCCAAATCTCCTCTGTTCCCTTCCTCATAGCTATGTCTTTCTCCCACTGCAACAGCTTCTGTTTCTGTGCTGTAGCGATCTCTGCGTCCACGAAGTAACCATGTTGGAGTAGACTGTCAAGATATGTTGCTAGGGTTTAGCCTTAGGAGCCATGTTGGGAGGTAGAGTGTGAGGGAGTTGGCAATGAAAGAGGGAACTTCACTATAGAGCTAAGGGTACAAATATGATAGGAAAGGGGGTAATCCACCAGACAGAATGTGATAACTACACTACTGCTATATCTACATGCAGTTACAATAATATAACTCTGACATCCCCCCTTAACTGCATGCAGGAATAGCAAAGCATAAATCACAACCCGCAAGTGTACTGAAAGCATTAGCACGCAAGAGCAATGACAACCAGTGCAGCAGTGGCAGAAACAACAGCAGAAACCCCTTAGCCAATATAGAAACGAAAGAAAGGTGCATGTGGCGCAGGTCGCCTGGAGAGCGGCGTGCGGCGGCAACAAGCGGCGGCACAGCAGGCTCAACGGCAGCACCTGCCGCTCAACAGCAGCAAACGAAAGAGACGAATTAAGTGGCAACAGGGGCTGCAGCTGGAGGTGCCACAGGAGCAGGGGGTGGCAGTTGCAAATGCAGGGCTGCTGCTTCTGCCACTCTCTCTCATACCCTCCTTTATCCCCCCTTACCCTCTCTCCCCCCCCCCTCCCCTCAGCAACAATTGCTGCAGGGAGAGAGGAAGAGGGAAGGGAGGGAGGAGCGGCAGGCTCCTCACACCCGCCCCCTCCCCCCAACCCCCCCCCCCACGATGGAAGGGAAGGGCGGAATCACCCACTGCCGGCGCTGGCGGTCGCGTTGGCGCTAGCGCTGGCGGCCGTCGCAGCTGCTGGCGGTGGCGCTGGCGGTCCGCGCAGGCGCTGGCGCTCACGGCTGGCTGCAGCGTTGGCGCTCGCGGCTGGCTGTGGCGCTGGCGTCCGCGCTTGCGAAGGCGGATCGCGGGGCGACGGGGGGAGCGTGACGGACGAAAAGGGCGCACGGGCGCGACGCGAAACGAAGGGCCTGCAGAAAGTGAAAAACGGGACCCGCGGGGTTCGTCCACGGGGCGATTCGGGGGACCCGCGGGGCGCATTACGGGCGGCACGACGGGTGGGCCCATGATCATTAAAAAAAAATAGGTCCTCAGGAGAAATTCCTGCTCTGTACCATGTCAAGATATGTTGCTAGGGTTTAGCCTTAGGAGCCATGTTGGGAGGTAGAGTGTGAGGGAGTTGGCAATGAAAGAGGGAACTTCACTATAGAGCTAAGGGTACAAATATGATAGGAAAGGGGGTAATCCACCAAACAGAATGTGATAACTACACTACTGCTATATCTACATGCAGTTACAATAATATAACTCTGACATAGACCCTTGAGTAGAGGATTCATCCCATCAAACTGGACGCCTGCTACATGACTGGGGCGGCTCAACGAGTCTGCTTTGTTGTGTTCCCCGGGTTTGTAGACGATGTCGTAGTGGAAGTGAGTTTCCAGGAAGTCCACCCATCGCACCTGTCGTCGTGAGAGCATCGGCTGCGGCTTCAAGTATTTGAGACTGCATTGGTCAGTCTGAACTGTAGGCTTGGCTCCCTCTAAGTAAAACCTCCACGTTCTGCCAGCTCATCTTGACTGGACGCGAAACCAGTCAAGTCTTCGCGAGTCAAACGAAGCGAGAATGAAATCGAACTCGCTGCAAAAATGAAACTCGATACCGTGTTTAACAGGATTTCAAACTAATTTTGTATGTGCGCTTATAATAAGTAAAGGTTTTTCAGGGGGGGGCGCTTATGATTGAGGACCGGCCATAAGCGCATGGCTCCATATAGAAGCGCCGGCGCTTTTAATAGGATGGCGCTACTATCCGGGGTGATACGGTACTTTACACACACGCTTACCGCGTACATGACTATTCCCGCCAACAGCACCCTACAATAAAATGTTACCACTCGCGACACCTGCCTCGACCATTGTTTCCGCCAATGTCCACATTGCAACCCAGCCTCATGGTTCGGTTGATAACCCGCGCTCTGGTCCTCCGCCTTGACAATTCCCAAACTCGGCGCCAAGCCCGTCACGCACCTCATTCTCGCGCATTACTGTTACCACGCTAGGCCTCGCTATATATTGTTCGCTCATTCCTTCGCTCATTGTATTCTTGCTTCGATAGTGCAATCCTCGTTCTCTCACTCAATTGCACTCGTAACAGGGGTCTATACCCCTTGAGATTTTGCATGCGCTTATGGCAGACTGATGTGTCTTTGCCCCTGTGGGCTGGCAGAGAATCTCGTGCGCGCGATTCTGATTCCTGACGCTATAAAACTTCCACTCCATTGAATTCACAAGAATGAGATGCACACTTTGGTGCTATAAGAATATGAATCTATATCAGCCATTTTATAAGCGCATGCGCTTATACCCCATACTCAACTAGAATCGCATACTGTATGCGCATACTATCCGGGGTGATACGGTAACTGAAGGGGTCCTATATCCGGGGGTTTACTGTACAAAGACGCAGCGAATGTAGGTGGTGGTGGTGGTGGTGGTGAAATTCCCAAGAATGTTACGAACTGCTCCGTCCATTCTGCCCCACCTCTCCTTCAACAGTGCATACAGGAGGTAAAGCAGCGCGAGGAACAGGTCTCACAAAGGCCCCATGAGGAGAAGGGATGAACGAGTGAGGAGTGCTCGGGGTGGAGGAGGGAGTGGATGGGAGGGAGGGATGAGCAGAGGAGTTAGCAGGGTGGTGCAGGGGAAGGAAGGCATGAGAGTTCACCGGATGGGGGCGCAAGGCGCACTGGTTTGGATTTAGCTGCCTGTTTGTCAGTTCTGTGGTCCCATAATGCTGTTGCAGCTGTGGCTGCTGGCTCACCTGCTTAAGCTGTGGATTCTCCAAGTAAGGCAACGGAAGGTATGGGTGTGAGTGTATTGGCATTTGCTGCTGCTGCTGCAGCGGCGGCGGTGGCATTTGTGGTAGCGCCTGTTGCTGCTGGGTATGTGTCTGGCTGAACTGCTGCTGGTGCTGTTGAAAAGGAACCAGCACTACTTGCTGGTTCCCTGGCCACTGCAGCACTGGCTGCTGTTGCTGCTGCTGGTGCTGCTGCTGCTGCTGCTGCCGCTGATGTTGGTGCTGCTGCTGGTGGTGTTGGTGCTGCTGCTGCTGTACATGTTGCTGATGGATCTGCTGTGCTTGGTATTGCTGTGTCTGCAGCACTATCCCATGCTGCGTGTTGGGTTGTTGCAGCCCAGCATTGCCAAGTTCAGGTACTCCAGACGAGGATGCTAGGATCGAGGATATTCCCTGCACGGAGATTCCATCTGCTGGAAACGCCGCCACCCGTGCAGCTCCTGATTGCATAGAAGGAACTAGAATGCCGCCCAGCACAAGCAGCTGTGCTGAGGGTCCAGCAGCAGCTGCGGATGCCGAAACTGCTGCCGAAGCTGGGGGTGCATTTGGTGGTGCTAGATTCCGAGGTTGGGCGTGACTGACGTAGTGAGAGGAAGAGGTGGATGGGGGAAGGGAATTAAGGGGGAGGGTGTTAGCAGCAGCGGAAGAGAAGGGTGAGGAGCAGACCGAGGGGGAGGCACAGTGGGGGGTGGAGGGCCAGGGGGGCTCTGAGGTGGGGCGATGGGACTGCAGTCGGTATTTCTGCAATAGGAGGAGCAGAAGAGGATACAAGTGTGAAAGGATGATGAGATGAGAGTGAATAAAAACGAGGGTAATCAACGAAGTGGGCTGTTGTTGACATCTCTTGATCTCCGCGTTAGTGAGGCGATCTGCCTTCACTCACTTATGTGTAATCTTCAAACCGCAACACATGTTTACCACATCACCATTCACCTGCGACCATCCTCACCTGCCAGCATCCTCACCTGCGACCATCCTCACCTGCCAGCATCCTCACCTGCCAGCATCCTCACCTGCCAGCATCCTCACCTGCCAGCATCCTCACCTGCCAGCATCCTCACCTGCCAGCATCCTCACCTGCCAGCATCCTCACCTGCCAGCATCCTCACCTGCAGGTGGCTCTTGATCTCATCGTTGGTGAGCCCGTCCACCTTCATCAGCGCGTTGATCTGCTTCGGTGTGGCCACTGCCGTGAGGGAGGAAGCGAGTGGAGCGTGGATGGGATCGAGAGATTGAGAGAATAATGGAAATGAGAGGATGGAAAGGCACATGGAATGGAAACATGTCCTGAGATTCATGCTCATTAGCGCACATGCACACATGCACAAATGCACGTGCGCACACACGCATGCACACATGGCACATGCACGCACCATGACATCCACCCAGCGACTCCAGCGCTTTGACGAACCGCTGATGAATGTCAGGCGACCAACACCTCCTGTGCTTCCGAGCTGCAGCTGCACCTCTCGCCCCTCCTCCACTGTTTCCACTCTCCTTCTCCCCGCCGCTTCCCTTATCCCCTTCACTCCCCCTCTCCTTGCCGCTCCCCCTCTCTCCTCCACGCCCTCTCGCCTCTCCACCCCCCCCTTCCCCTCTGCTTCCTCCATCTTCTTCACTCCCTCTCTCCCTCCCAGATTCACAGCTAGTGCCCATCTCACTCTGCTGCTCCTCGCTCCGTCCACTGCTTTTACCACTTCTCGATCTCCTGCCGTCCTTGAGCTCCCCTCCTCCGCTACTCTCTACTCGTCTCGCAGTTTGGCTCTCTGCCAACACCTGCTGGGCCCTCTCCCTCTCATGGCTTCTTCCATCAGAGTGCGCTGCCTCACTTAAGCCTGCCCCACTTGTACCTGCCTCTGCTACTCCTCTGCTGTCTCTCAACCTTCGGTTTTCTGATGATGCACGTACCGCCCTTTCTTTCCCGTGGCTGTTTGCAGCAGATCCACCTCCCCCAAATGTGCCCTCCCGTGCCACAGAAAGCCAAATATTTTTCCTTTCTGTTGCCTCCCTACTCTTGCTCCGCTGTGAGAGGTCTCCTTCTCTATTCGCACGGTCGGCACGACCATTACTCGTTGATACCAGGACCCGGTTTACCATCCTTTGTTGCCACCCTAAACCGGACCCACTGCCCACCTCCCCTATTCTTCCGAGACCAGAATCAGCAGCACCATCACCAGCACCACCACCACCAGCAGCACCGGACGCGCCAGCACCAGCACCGGAAAAGCCAGCGGCTGCAGCCGCTTCTCCACCAGCACAGGGAGCATCGTCCCCTTGTTGCTCCACCCGTCCACTCTCCTTTACTCCTCTACTGCCATCCAGCAAAGCCGCCCCTTCATTGTGCCCTTCCCCCTGTCCTTCCCTTGCTCCTCTGCTCCAAATCCTTCCCACGTCAAGCTGAACTTCCCCCACACCGCATGTGCTTCCTCCTGACACGCCCATCCTGCTCTTTGCTGCCACCTCTCCTCCTTTCTCAGTTATGCCGCTCACAGCCTTTGCATGAAAGGTAGTAGCATCAGAAGCAGCAACGGCACAACCAGCAGTACCCATGGCAGCAGCATCGCCTATACCATCACGACCACACCCCATAGTTTCTCCTCCCGCGCTTATGCCGACACATATTGCTGTGGAAACATCCGCAGCGCCAACACCATCACCGCCACCACCAAAGCGCTTTCCGGTGGAATCCCCAAGGCAAAGAGAGAGTCCTGCTGCAGTGAGCAAGAGGCTCCGGTCTTCCTCGCTTGCTCGCATTTTACCCTCTTCATCCGCCAATCCCAAATGCGTGTTCCCCTCATGCCTGCTCGACCCACCAGCGTCTTCTTGGTCTCGCCGCTCCACTAGCCAGTCTCGCTGAACCCCCCTGCCATCGTTTTCCCCACGCCCCTCTCTCGCACTGTATTTCAACACCGGCGAAGCTGCCAGGTCTAATGGCCCACATTCCTGCTCTCTGCCTCGTGCATGCTCTCCGCCTCCTGCCTCATCCTGCTTGTGTCGCTTTCTCCCACTGCCCTCAACATCACTCACTGCCCGTCTCCTTCGCCTTCCTACTACCCCCCCACTACCCACTTGGCCACCCACTCCATTCCCCTCACTCCCATTATCATTTTCGCTCCCTTCATCTTCCTCGATCCTATCAGTTTCCCTACTTCCTCCCACGCAATCCCCATACGCAGCCATAGTGTTTCTGTCTCTCTGCCTTGCTGCAAAAAGGCCTCCAAATTCCTCCCCATATCCATCTCCGTTCTCGTCTTCTCCAACCTCCTCTTCTCCCTCTCTCACCCTTTTCCTCTCAGCCTCACGGTCTCTATCCTCCTCTCCTTCCGCATCCACCGCCTCTGTCCCCACCCTCCTTCCCACCCCTTCCTCGCAAGTACTCTCAACTTCCCCAAAACCTCCACCCACGGGCAAACTCAGCCTGCCTTGGCATGGGATTCGCTTGCATGAATCGCCTCTATCTGCAGAAGCAGCACGTTTCGGATCCGTGCTGCCTCGGGCCGCTGTGCCTGTGGGACTGCTGCTCTGGCTGATGCTCTTCCGTGCTTCGGATATGGCTGCCGGCGTGGGGTGCAGGATGGTAAACCGCAAGTTATGCGTATTGGGGTATGTGATGCTCCCTTCTGATGTTGTGAAGTGGAATTCGGAGGGTTGATGCGGATGTTGTTCAGGGTTCAAGAGGCAAAGATGCAAAACGGCATGCAGCACACACACACACACACACACACACACACACACACACACACCGAGAAACACACAGAAAAGAGAGAGAGAGAGAGAGAGAGAGAGAGAGAGAGAGAGAGAGAGAGAGAGAGAGAGAGAGAGAGAGAGAGAGAGAGAGAGAGAGAGAGAGAGAGAGAGAGAGAGAGAGAGATATTTACCTTCGTTTAACAAAGCCAATGCTAGTGGCAACTCTCTACTAAATGCTTCAACTTTCTTCCGCTCCTCCAGAAGCTTTTCTAAACGTAGCATTTTCTCAGCCCCACTTGTTTCGACGGCTCGTTTAGTACGAAATTCACATGCTGCGTCCATTGTGAACCACAAAAACTATGCCTTTAGTAGTAATTTTCTAGCATCTCTTGTGACTCTCGCCACCAAAATCGTAAATCTGGCAGCTAAAACCCCGGCGCAATTTCCATGATTTGCCTGGGTGACGCTATTTCCGAGAAGTCGATTTCCATTCCAGAGAGGCTTTCTGCTTCCTAACAAAGTTACTTTCTGCACCTGGACAGGTTTCAGCGTTAAAGCTGGTGATACTGGCAGTGGTGGCAGCAGTTCAGTGTGAAGAGTGCAGGGGCGGGAGCTTGGAATGCAGCCGAAACATGTTATTTCTGTCGTTGCATTTGTGCGTTTGCTGTGGGGCACTTCTGTTTTGCCTTGCTTGGTTCCACAGTGCAACACGATGATTTGTGGAGACGAACACCATTGAATATGCCAACTGGGTTGAGTAAGTGGGGTTTTTTTTCGGGATCTGAATTGGGAAAGATTCCTGATTCAGAAAAGATGCTCACGTTTGTTCACACGCGCAGATCGATGCATCCAACGGACGGACGAATTTCTCGGCGGATCTTCACCCGAATCTTGTGGTCCGGTTAGATGCTGACGTGGCCGCATCTGTGAGGCACGAAATGGAATATTCGTTCTCGCATTTTGGTGGAGCATCTTCCCTCGTAGCCGCTTTGCCTGGGCAGCTCGCATTGCCGCCGGGGCAAACTATTGCCTATAACCAGTAAGGATCCGTGAAAGTAATTAGAGAAACTCATTAGAGCCAGTGTGGGGCGAAAGGCAAGGCGCGGAGGGGGATGTGTTAGGGTGCAATAATGAGAGGGGTAGCTTCTGGAGTGAGTAGAACTCCACCTCATCCGAACAGTAATTAATGTACCTGGTACTTGGTTCCGATTGTCCCTGGAAACTCTCCCTAACGGCGCCCTTCGTTCGTCCGAAACCACCCGAGGAGGTTTGTCCCATGTACCCTAAAAAACTCTTTCGAAGCATGAAAAAGTACCTGGCCACAATGGCGCTGAGCCTTGCACGAACCGCGGGCTGCACGATTCTGAGGGTCACGACACCCGCCTTATGCGCTTACAGTACATTTCATATCAAATTTAACAAGTTACGCAACGGAGCTCTACACCAAAATAGAGATGACAAATACCTCACCATTCACGCTCAACTGTGATATTGGAAACCATAACAGTGAGAACTGCATTCTTATACTTTTGTACTGTATATGATGCTATTCATGTCTCATTGTTGATCACTAGCTTGCGAATTAGCATTCACTTCACCTGTGCTGGGCTGAAAGGCCCTAGGATCTTTGTAGAGTTAAAGTCTGAGTAGATGTTGTAATAGCGGAAGCGTTGAATAAAGCTCTTGAACCACCTTGCGCTAGTATGTGAGGGCAAAGTAAGTTAATAAAAGCAAAGGGATACAAGAATATAAATAGATGAGTACAGAGAATATGAAGAGACATTATAACTAATTTTACTGTTGTAGTTCGATACAGTGCGACTCGGGCAACTGCTCAATGTCGAGTCAGTTGATTGTCCTTGCTGTCGCGCTGCGTCAGGTCAAAGGTCGCTGCCCTTTGACTTTCCCGTAACCTCCGACGGTTACGTTAACCTCGTTGGTTGACTCGCGCTGCTTCGACTTGAGCTGCTTCGTTTTGTGTCTTGACTACTGACACGACAGAGGCGCTTAACTTATTTGTTCCCAATGAGAAAATTAGAACGCGAGAATGGAATGACTATGAACGAAGTGAGTACAAATAGGAAACCCTAGTTGGGTTGTACCCCAGATGGGATACCCCACTATAGCCTACACAAATAAGAAAGCTATAATATTCTGACACACCCCCATAGGCAAAGTGGGGGAGAACAAGGGGTCACAAGACCAGTCAAGCAAAACAAAGCTCAGGGTGGATCACAAAGTCACCACACATTCCGAGCACAAGTTCAAGGGCCACAAGGCCAGTTCACATGCAAGAGCATATATAGAGATATACAAGAGTCAAGCAAGCAAGAACAAGAGTATATATAGGTCAAGGTACAAGCAAGGTCAAGAAGTGAGCAAGTGAGCCAAGACAGGCACAAGACCCAGCTGCGTGCAGCAAAGCTGATGATCACAAGGCGCAAGTGCCTTGGTGAAGACATCAGCAGTGTTGGCCTCAGAGGCCACGTACGCAAGTCGCAACTGTCCACGCTGCTGTAGCTCACGAGCAAGAAAGTAGCGGAGAGCAATGTGCTTTGTCCTGTGCTCCAGTCGCTGCTCTCGACACAAGGCCAGCATGGCCTTGTTGTCTACGTACAGGACTGGAGGAGAACGAGGCGGCTCTCCAAGGTCGGTCAGCAGGTAGGTGAGCCAGCGAAGCTCCTGAGCAGCCATAGCCCCGGCGTAGATCTCACCCTCACAACTGGAGCCAAGAACAGAAGACGAGCGGGTAGCCCGCCACGAAACAGAGCCGGAACCAAGGCTGAAGGTGTAACCCTGTGACGACCGCTGCGTAGCCTGGTCGTCAGCCCAAGAAGCGTGCGCGTGCCCAGTGAGGACCACTGGACTGCGCCCTCCAAGCACTAGCCCCATGCCCGACGTACTGCACAAGTAGCGCAACACCCTCTTCGCTGCAGCCATGTGCTCTGGTCGGTGTCTCCCAGGAGCAACATAGCGGGCGAGAATGCTAAGAGGGTATGCAAGGTCAGGTCGTGTGCAGATCATCAGGTACATGAGGCAGCCAACAAGCTCTGCGTACGGACCACTCGACTCTACGGACTCATCCCAAGGCAGAGCTGAGAGCGAGTGGCGAGTAGGCAGAGGAGTGGCCTGAGGCGAGGAGTACGTGAAGCCGAAGCGCTTAAGGACCTGCTGCACCATGTGTGACTGAGTCAAGGTAATGGTGCGACGTGCTCTGTCCCGGGTGATCTGCAAGCCAAGGTAGCTGCGCAGTTCACCCAGGTCAGTGCACGTGTGTCTCTTCTGCAGCTCGGACTTCACGTAGGCGAGTCCAGCAGTGTCAGCTGTGGCAAAGACCAAGTCGTCGACGTACACGAGGATGTAGAACGGCGGCAGAGAAGTGTCGGTGCGCAGAAACAGCGACGGGTCGGCAGTAGAAGGAGCAAACCCAAGAGCCGCAAGCGTAGTCCTCAGTGTGTCGTGCCACTCACGTGGCGCCTGGCGGAGACCGTAGACTGGACGCCGGAGACTCCACTGGGTACCAGGAGGGAAAGACCCAGTGAAGCCAGGTGGGCGACGCAGCCAGATCTCCTCGTGCAGGCTGCCCTGCAAGAAAGCAGTGCTGAAGTCGAGAGAGTGCAGCTCGTAGTCACAGTGAGCAGCAACGTGCAGCAGTACCCGAAGAGTGGTCATCTTCGGGGTGGGAGAGAAGGTCTGAAAGTAGTCAACTCCCTGCCGCTGACTGAAGCCACGAGCCACGTAACGCGCCTTGAAGACAGGCGTAGAACCCGGCGGCCGCTTCACCCTGAAGATCCACATGCCACTGACGATGTTCGCCCCAGGAGGGGGAACAGCGTCAACGTAGGTGCCTGTGGACCTCCAGGAAGCCATCTTTGCATCCATAGCTGCCTGCCACTGAGAGGAGTAGGGACCCTCTATCGCCTCCGCGTAAGAGCGCGGAGTCGGGATGTCTAGTGCATTCGGGTCTCCCTCAGGGGCGAGCAGTACAGACGCGAGATGAGGTGAAGCGGCGGCCAGACACTGGAACTCCTCCTGCCTGTCCTCAAGGACGTCCGTGCCAAGGGCACACTCACCCCCGACGGACGGAGGACAGACAGACTCAGACTCAGCGACAAGACTAGCAGCGTAGTCTAGACGACAGCGCGCAGCAAAGTCGACGAGCTCAGTGACAAGGGCAGACGCAGCAGAAGACTCGAAAGAAGGGTCAGTGACAGCAGTAGCAAGGAGACGCGTGACAGTAGGACTGGCAGCACGAAGAGAGTCCGACTCCGGGTCGGCAAGGGCAGGAAGAGAGGACTCAGGAGGAGAAGGCAAAGGGGCACGCAGAGGAGCAGTGGAGGGACGCAGAGACATCCGGTGCGTGCCAGGGACAGGAGGAGGACGCTGACGCGAACCGCGACCACTAGTGCGTGTAGGACGAACAGGCGACGCAGGACGAGACGCAGGCTCACGACGCTTAGTAAGACCTTTAGTTGGACCAGCGTAGGGAGAAGGCGCAGGCAAAGGGGAGGCAGGCTGTAGCTGTGACTGGGACTGGACAGGCTGTGGACCCTCTAAGGGAGGAGGAGGAGGACCAGGAGAAGGTGTAAGACCAAGAACCTGCTGCAGGAGCGGAACGAAGTACGGTCGGGGCCGCGTGGCGACGCCAGAAACAGCAGGGACAGCACCAGTACTCCCAGAAGGAGTACTCGCTCCAGCAGTACCTCCAGCAGCACCTCCAGTAGCTCCAGAACCCCCAGCAGCACCAGGAGCACTGCGAGTCAGACCGCCAGCAGTAGTCTCAGCGCCAACACCCTCAGCAGTACCAGCTCCAGGAGAACCCTCAGGCCCAGCAGCTCCAGCACCCACCGCACGAGCACCTCCGGGACGCGCGGCAGCAGCACCCTCTGCAGCCGAAGAACCTCCAGCACCAGCAGTACGCCTCCAGCGCCGGGCAAACCACTCACGCAGCTCCTGTGGGGAGAGTGGCTCTCGGCAAGACGAAGCACCTCCAGGCGAAGAACCTCCAGGCAAGGCACCTCCAGGCGGAGCACCCCCAGTCTCAGCACCCCCAGGCTCAGCACTCCCAGGCCCAGCACCCCCAGGCTCAGGCTCCTCAGACACACTACCCCCAGGCTCAGCACCCCCAGACTCAGCACCCCCAGGCTCAGCACCCCCAGACTCCGCACCCCCAGGCTCAGCACCCCCAGGCTCAGCACCTC